AATCATGGTGAAGATAATGATGGCAGATGACATTTCCCGAGGCTCTTCTGAGTCAGGCACTTAAGTTTTTTGTGGATTTATTTATTTCATTCCCATTATATCTCTGCAAGGGGCTATTATTACTAGCCCCTTCTTTGCAGTGGGGCAAATAGCCCCACTTTGCAGATGCAGAAACGGAGGCCCAGGAAGCTTAAGAAATTTGCCAAAGACCATGCAGCCCACCAAGAGCAGAGGCTGAATGGAACTGGCCAGGGAAATAGTCACCAATACGCTAAGATGGCCACGCTGAGAGGAGCCAGGCTTCCCAGCTGAGCTTTCTGACCTCTGATGTTTGAGGTGTTAAGGGCACTTCTACTTTATTAACATTCATTTGACACATTTTACTGAGCACTGCTGTCCATGCTGGGCAGCCACAGAGAACCAGGCCCACGGCGGTCCTATCTCATAGGACTGAACGTCTAGTACGGGCACCAACAGAAGCGATCATGGTAGGTGGTGATAAAATACCACAAAGAAAATACAATAGGGGGCATGAGAGGAAGAAATGGGTGATGGTCAGGGCAGGCCTCCTGGAGCAGAGGGCCTCTGAGCAGAGATGTGGGCATTCAGCCGTGCTACGGGGTATCTCAGCCTCAGCACCACGGACATCGTGGGCCAGGTGATTGTTACGCGGCCTGTCCCGTACACCATAGGCTGTTAGTAGCATCTCTGGCCTCCACCCACGAGATGCCAGCAATAGCCTCTCTCTAGTGTGACATTGCCAAATGTCCCTGCAGGGTAAAATCACCCCCAGTTGAGAATCCCTGAGTCATGAGATCAGCAAAGCAAGAGGTGTGGGTGGAAGGGACAGCAAGGCAGGCTGAAAGTTTAAGAAGCAGGAAGAAAACTGGTTTGTCTGGAGGGCAAGGGGCCAAGACACAGGTGGCAGGATCGTTGCAGCTCTTGAAAACTCTCTAGAAAGCACTCAGCACACTTCCAGAGTTTCTCGTCTGTGCCAGGCATTGATCCAGCTGTGTCCAAGGACACGGTGCATACCCCAAGGTGATCACAGTTGGGATGGCTGGATGAGACACTTGTGTCCAGGCAGACAGCTGTCAGCACAGGCCTATCCATGGTAACAGAAGATTCCGGTCAGACAGCAAGCAGAGAGGGGCTCTAAAGGCAGTGACCTCAGCACAGAAGGCCCGGGCCCCCTCTTAAAGAGGAGATTGGGACAAGTGAAACCTTTACCTTGCCAGCATCTCAGCCCTTCCATCTTGCATCAGCAACCATCCTGCTCCCCAGTTGCACAGCACACCATTTTCGTGGAATTTCCAATCATGGTACCCCCCTGCCCCAGCCTAGCCAAGGGGCTGGCACGAGACCCAAGCCTGGCTATCAGATTCTTTCTTCCAGGAATTAGAATACTGGGCAGAGAAACCCAAGGGCAGAGAATGGCTAGAGTCCATTTTTCTAATGAAAACGGAAGAAGGCAAGTTCTTTTGTTCTGGCATTATTTTCTACTCTCAACAACCTAAGAAGCAATTGTTTCTCTCTCTCTTCCAGAACCTGGTTTCTTAGCTTTTCCTTCTAATGCCCTTTCAATCATTTAGTTCACCACAGTGGATTTCCGGTGCTTGAAACCCCAATTAAAATAGAAACAGTGCAATGTGGACAGGGAAAAAGACTGTCGATTTCTGTTTCACTGCACTCACCACTTTATATTAAATAAGCTGTATGTCCCTCTCTCTCCTAGCAACCAGGAGCTTCTCCAGGACCGGGAGAAGGCTTTTCCTCGTGGCGCTCAGCTCAGAGCTGGCTTCTGCTTTGCACTCACCATGGTTTATAACTACTCATTTCTTTGTGGGATCATTTGCTTAGTGCCATCCTCCCCCACCATGCCAAAGCCCCATGAAGACAGAGCATATGGAGCCTACCCCGGTAAGGTGGCCAACCTTCCTGATTTGCCTTTGTCCCGGGGGTTTCCTGGGACATGGGACTTCCAGTGCTAACACCAGGAAAATCCCCAGCAAATCAAGACAGTGGCCACCCTACTGGGGCTTGACATAGAAGATGCCTTCAAGCACCATTTGTCCCTGACACTCAAGAAATACAAGTTCAAGGGAACCGTAGAGGCAGCCCAGCAGAAGGCATGTTCTTTCATTCCGCATTTCTTCACACCAACTGTGTGCCCGGTAACCAGCTTGTCAGAAGTGGGGGATTCAGGGAAGGGTGTCCCAGAAGCCAGGACTGGAAATGTAAATTGGAATTAGACTGTAGAGGGGGTCTGGAATGCTGGGCTCAGAAATCTGGATGCTGCGCAGGTGCCGCAGAACCCTGCTGACTGAGAAGCAGGGAGGAGACACGAAAACAGGAATCATTTTGAGGTGACGCCTCAGCGGCTCCTCACCAGGCTCTCTGATAAAGGGAGCATCTGCAGGGGCTGCAGAGCAGGGGGATGTAGCCTGAAGTCAGTGAATTGTTTGCTCGTTTGCTTCCTAGGGTCTAGGCTAGGCACAGAGGGGTTTTGGCTACCTCCTTTCTCAACTCAGGCACAGCCATCTGCTCGACTCAACAAGCAGAAAATCCACCCCCAGGAAACGTGAATTTATTTGTGGATATGTGATGAATCCCACAGCTTTGCTTCTTGTGGAGATCCAGTAATCTGAACCATGCCACAAGGCTGTCCTCTGGGTGGATGTCACCCCTGCCCCACCAGCAGGTAAGAAAACATCCATGCACAGCCGGGCGCACTTTTGGATGAGGCCTCCCAGAATTTTAGGACCTGGAAATCCTCTGAGAAGAACGTTTTTCCAATTCACCTCCCTCAATTCAGAGGGGAAAGAATGTTCCTAAAAATGACCTAGTAAGTGAGAAGCAGAGGGTGGGCAGCTCCCTCCTTAGCTTTTCTCAATAAAGAACTGAATCATGTAAATGGGAGCCCCTTGCTCCTGACAGGCGGAAGAAAGTTCTAGAAGGTGAACAGGCAAGGAAATAAAAACATTAAATCACAAGGTTAGAGAATTTTTCCTCTCTGAATTCTCTTTCTGTCCTTCTTATCACATAAAGAAGGCAATCTCACTTCGGTACTAACAGGTCTTTAGCACTTCTCTGAAACTTTAACACCTCTCCAGATCTCCCTTTTAAATGGAAATCAAACAGGCCTCAAGCCCAGAGTCTTCAATGGGTAGCCTTATCCCCCCAGAATTCAATAATATTGCTCTATTTTCATGGTATTTCTTTTTATGGATAGCTCCATTTTGTGGCAGGTGGTATTGGCTTTCCATTTATGGTAATGAATACATTTCCCTTTTGAACAAACGTATTTAAGTTTTCAATGTGAGACAAGTTAAAGAAAAATAATGAGGGAGAGACTGGGCCAAGTGACAGGCAGCTGTTGCACAAGTATCGGTGGTCCTCGCACCTCGACTGAAGTTTGGAAACTGGGGTAGAGATCAGAGGTACAGAGACTCCAGGAGCGCTCACCGGAGCGAATGTCAAGCCTGAGATTTAACTCAATTAGAGAGACATTGATGATTCTTCATTTGACCTTGAACAGACAGAAACCCGAGATGAGAGAGAGCAGGTCTAATGTTTAACTTGGCAGAGGATCAGGTGTGGGTCCTTGTGGGTCAGGTGTCTCCCACGTAAAGGAAAAGACATAGAGAGAATTTGTACCTGTTTCCTATGAAGAACTATTGAAGGAGTAATAAAGGCAGGCAGTGGCAGCAGGGCAGGCGGAGCAGCTACGCTCTCCATGGGCTTCCCCAAGCCCCGCCGTCCCTTCGCCGGCCCTGTGATGCTCACGCCACTGGCGAACGTTCCATGTGCCAAGACCTCTTCAGAGCGCCGTATCCCTCCGTGTAGTCCTAACAACATCCTTCGGAGGCAAGTATTATCACCCCCACTTTATCGATGAGAAAACTGAGGTGTAAGAGCCTAAGGAGCTCTGCAGGGTCACAGCCAGAACGAGGTGGAGGCCGATTCCAGCCCAGGCCGTCTGGCTCCGAGCGTGCCCCTGTTACACTCCGCGGAGGTGAGTGACCCTAACTTTATTGCCATTTTACGGAGGAGGACTGTTCGGGCTCGCCAGAGAGAATAATAAACCCTGGATCACACAGCTACCGAATTGGGAAGTCCGCTAAACCACCTCCCAAAAAGGTGTTTTCCACAAAGCAAGTTATTTCGTTAATTCAACAAATGTTTACTGAGCACCTGTCACGTGGGGTGGGCCCTTCTTCTTGCACACCTGTGATCTCGGGGGGCTGTAGGTCCATCCCTGCCCTCCGCCAAGCAGGTAGTCATCCTGTGGACTTCTCCCTGGGGCCTCTGGATTTCTGGCTAAATCTAAGCCGGACCAGCCCACAGGCCCGGCTCTGTGGCAAAATCAGGAAGTCCAGCCAAGGCCTCTGGAACCTCTATCCTGGCTTCAGCTCTGCGGTTCTCAGCCGCAGCCTCTCCCCTTCCCAGGCTCAGCCTCTCCCCTTCCAGGCTCAGCCTCTCCCTTCCCAGGCTCAGCCTCTCCCCTTCCCAGGCTCAGCCTCTCGCCTCCCAGGCCAGCCTCTCCCCTTCTCAGACTCAGCCTCTCCCCCTCCCAGACCCACCCAGCTCCCTCACCTACAAAATGGAGCTTATTAAAATGATCTGACTCAACTCACAGGGTTATTGGGAAAACCCAATGTGAGTGTTGTAGGTGAAAAGACTTTTTACTCTGGAGCTCCCAGTTAGTGAGCAGTCTCTGTCAGTTCGTGATGCTCTCTGGACAGTTATTTTAATATAAAAATGATTGTTTGGTTTTTTTCTAATTACAAAAGTTTGGGAATCACAGATAAGCACACAGAAACAAAAATTGTTCATGATCCCCCCCCCCCATCGGTGATCTCTATTAACCCGTTGGTGTGTTTCCCTCTGGTTCATAAATATAAAATAAACATAAATATGATCATTGCCAGACTTAAGATCCAGTAGCTTCCCACTCACTGCAGCTGCAGTAAAATCCAGACTCCTTATAAACACCTCACCTTGGCGTTCATCCCTGTGTCGTGTGGCCTATATCCGCCTCTCTCTCCCACCTCTTCTCTCCCCACTTGCACACAAGGTCTCTGCCTTTATTTATTTATTTTTTCCTAAGGCTGCGATTGCATCACCCCTCAAGGCCTTTGCCCCTTTGCCTGAAATGCTCTTCCCTGATCCTCATGAATGGTGTTTTTCAACATGCAGGTCAAGATCGGAATGTTACCTCCTCAGATGGTTCCCTCCTCGTCACTCAGTCTAAACCAGCCCAATTTGGGGCACCTAGGTGGCTCAGTGGTTGAGCCTTCGGCTAAGGTTGTGGGATTGAGTCCCACATTGAGCTCTCCCTGGGGAGCCTGCTTTTGTCTCTGCCTGTGTCTCTGCCTCTTGCTCTCTCCGTGTGTCTCTCATGAATAAATAAATAAAATCTAGATTAAACCAGCCCATTTTATGTCCTCTTCATGGCATCGCACTACTCCTGGAAATCGTCCTTTTTGTTCCCTCACCTCCCCCTCCCCCACATGGTTCACTGAACTTGTTCCCTTCTGCATCTCCGTGCCCAGAATATTGCCCAGCACACAGCACATTAACTCTTCAATAAGTGAATGGATGGGATTAATGCATTTCCAGGCTGGGATTGTACTAGGTCGATACTTTGCAACTTGAGTTTTTCACTTAATATGATGTGACCACAATGACTTTAATGGCGACATGGTACGCGATTCTATGGACATATCATCAGTTTTAACCAAGCCCCTGTTATTGATTAGTTGGGGCATTTCTCATTGGTGTGTCTGTAAGTAATATAGCAGCCATCCTGATACACGCACAGGGAGGCTTTGCACACCTCCCTGCTCTTTTCCCTAGGATTAATTCCTGCTGGTGAAACCCTGGGATCAAAGGGGGCATAGTTTTAATCCTTTTGATATGTCTTGCCACACTGACTTGAGGAAAAGCCGTGTTGTCTCCAAATTTGCTTTAATGATCCATCGTGTGTGCTCTTCTTAGTAGAATCCTCTGAAGGCAAAGGGAATGTCATTATCTCCTTACCCAGGAGACCTAAGGTTGAGGCCATTGGGCAAGACAGGTCATGCTCACTTAATCTGCAGAAACCTGCTTCCTTCCTGACAACAGCGACACCTTTGAGTCCTACTGACTAGGCCTGACACATGATGCTTAGGGATTCTCTAAGATGGTGAGGCATCAAGGCTAGAAGTCACTTTAGACAGGCCGAGGCATTTCTCGTTCTGGAAATTAGTAAACAGCCTGGCCCAGCAGACTTTGTGAACTGGATATGCCATCTTTTGCTCTCCAGAACACACTTGGGGTTGGCCAGCTGGCCTCTCGCTGAAACTTGCCCATACCTGGCCAAGTCCTCTGTGCCTTTGCTTGTCTGCCATTCCCATACCCTGCTCCATCTCCTGTCCCAGCATCTAGTGCTACTCCCCACTCCACTAACGACCTTCAAGGAAGCCCCTGAGGGATCACACCCTCCAGCCAAGAACTGCTACAGCTCTGACCACTAACCTCCCCTTTGGCATTTAATCGGCTCACTGCCTGATACTGTTTCTCCACCCTTGTGCCTGAATAAGTTTCAGTCCCCAAGTGAGGGTTTTTCTCCCTCTGGGAGCTGGTCCACAGAACCTTGGGTGAATCAAGCCCAGGAGGGAGCCTGGTCTCTGGTACCTATTTGCACTGTGCATTCAGAGAGCGTATTTAACCCTTCCGAACCTCACCTTCCCCATCCGTAAAACGGAGATTGTAATAGTACTGACCTGAACGAGTCATTCTGGGAATTCCTATAAAGCCCTTAGCTTCATGCCTGGCACAGAACAATTGCTCAACACAACAGAAAAATAGTATTTATCTTCATTTTGTTCTTCTGTACCTCTGCACAGGCTGAGCCAGCAACACACACAATGATAAAGGAAATATTTGTGGAATGGAATGAACGGACGTCATGTGGGCATTCGTCGTGTGTGTATTTAGCTTTACTCACGAGCACTCAGGGCAGCCAGAGCCGGTCATCTCAGGATCTAGGGGCCGGAGAAGAGAATCTCTACCAGTAACTGAAACGCTACTCAGATGTACGTCCAGAGCCCTCTAAGAGTGAGACGTGTTATCTGATTTAATCCCCACACCACCCTGACAGGAAGATGTTTTTATGTCTCTCTGATAATAACACCTACCATTTGCTGACCACCTGGTGTGTGCCAGCCCTTTGCAAGACACTTTTTAAAAATGTGATTTCATTGAAAACCTCACACTATTTCAATGAGATAAGGATGATTATTACTGAAGAGGATACAAGGTCAGAAAGTTTAAGTAAACTGCCCAAGGGCTGATGGGTAGTCAGAGAAGAGGAGAGGCCAGGATTTGAAAAACAACAACAAACCCCAGAAACTTCCGTTACACCACCCACCTGATTTATTGACATTTTCACAGACCTCTGCATTCAGTAGGTGCTTACTAGGAACGGAATTGCGAACGCATGGTGATCTTGGGGCTTTTAACAGATGCTTCAGAGGGAGCAGTTTCTATTTCCGGTGCCCACCTCAATCTCCATCTTGAAGAGGGTTGTTTGTTTCCCACCCCCTGCTCTGCTGGCATGATGTTCTTGTTTTTCTCCAGGCCCTATGACTCAGCATGCAGCTCCAGATGGCTTCCTGCCTTTCCAGTCTTGTTGGCTGGGGTGCTGGGGGCCCGGGTACAGTAAACTAAAACCAAAAACATGTTGCGACTAAGAGTGGAAACCGTCCCTCCTCTGACCGTTGAAGACTGGGGTCTGCTCCTCATGGGGGTGGCTCCCTCCACGGCCTCCCCTTGACACAGTCCCTCCTTTCAAACCCCGACATCTTCATGCTTCACCCCAGTATGTCTTTGATGCCTTGAAGATGCCACCCAGGGGTGAGGCAGGGACCAGCAAAGGGGATGGGCCCAGTTCTGACATCCTTTTGGTCTGCTGACCTTAAGCCCTTTACTTTCTGAGCCTTGGTGATCAAATGGAAGGTTATGCCTGCTTCTGAGGATTATAGTTAGGGTTGCCAGATGAGGTCCAGTGCTAAGGACTGTGTCCCACCAAAATTCATGTGTTCAATCCTAACGCCCCAATGTTATGGCAATAGAAGGTGGGGCCTTTGGGAGTTCTTAGGTCTTGACTCCAGGGAGCCCTCTCATCCCTTCCACCAAGTGAGGACACAGATAAAAGACAGCCATCTGTGAACAGAGAGAGGGTTCTCACCAGGCACTAAATCTGCCGGCGCCTTGATCTGGGACTTCCCAGCCTCCAGACGATGAGAAATAAACTTTGTTTTTAAGCCATCTAGTCTACGGTAATTCGCTATAGCAGCCCAAATGCACCCAACTAAACTAAATTTAACACCCAGTTAAATTTGAATTTCAGATAAATGATTTTTTTTCTTAATATAATTGTGCCCCAAATACTGCATTCAAATTTAACTAGATATCCTGTAGCTTCACTTGCTAAATCTACAGCTCTATGTAGAGTATATATAGAGAGATAAAAAATGTGAAGATGCTTTATCACGTATCAAGAGCTGTACACTTAATAATATCTTTCCATGACACGTATACATATCTACTCATGGGCCACCAGCGTGGCCTGGGGCAGAGAACAGTCTTCTGGTCAGGTGACGGAAAATGTGTACCATCTCGGCCTGTGAAGGATACCTGGGTCTTGTTTGTCAACTGATTGATCTTTGCACGTCGTACCTCTGGGACTTCAATGCTTCCAGCTTTAATTCTCCCAAATGCTAGAATGAAAGACATGGAAGCAATAGGTACCCAGAACTTTGCCTATTGCTGATTGACTGACCCATGTCTTGACTACATAGTTGAAGAAGAAAACAGCATGGCTTATAAGTGACTTATGTAATGAAGGATGTATTTAGCTCCAAGATGTTTGCAGAGCGCTGCTCAAAATAGAGAAATAAAAGGACACAACTAGGGCAGCCCTGGTGGCTCAGCGGTTTAGCGACCCGGGATCAAGTCCCACGTTGGGCTCCCTGCATGGGGCCTGCTTCTTTCTCCCTCTGCCTGTGTCTCTGCCTCTCTCTCTCTCCTCTATGTATTCTCGTGAATAAATAAACAAAAAATCTTAAAAAAAAAAAAGGACACAACTAGTTTATTCTCTATAGACTACTTGTTTATTTGGGGTTTGGAGTGTCTCCTCCTATCAGAGTTCTGTGAGGGAATGGATTTTTGTCTGTTTTGTTCCCTGCTAATACTTAGTGTCTCACCCAGGAAAGGTAGACTATTTGATTACCTAAGATCAGTTTAGCTGGCTATATTAAAGATATATAAATACATTCATAATCTATTAGAAAGGAAATTTTCTGAAGGCAGTCAACCTCCCATCCTTGTTAAGGAGATGATAGTCATGCCCTCAAGTTTTTTGAACAGTGTTACTGCCTCTCCACAGAATTTCCCCCAGTCAATGACCAAATCAAGTGCCCAGTGACTAGGGCCCAAGGGCTAGGTTATTTGGTCTGCATTCCGCCCGAGATCTTCAAAGATCTGCTGCCGTGTTCTTATTTTTTAATGAGTTTGTCACTGACTACCAAGATACTAAGGAAGGCCCAATACCCAGTGAGTGTTTGGATTTGTGATTGGCTGACTCCACCAAAAAAGGAAGGGCAGGCTGACTTTAGAAACTTCTTAGCATCCTGAAACCTTACAAGCCATCTTGAGATTTGCCTCTTTGAAGCAACTCTCCAGTGGAGGAGGCTGACATTGTTGGTGACTTGGGCCTGGCTCACCAATTCTTAAATTCTTACAGCTACATTTGGGTCCCCTCACCTCAGTGAGACCCTTCATTCAGTTCTACATTAACTGTCACCATTTCGGCACCGCCTTCCATAGTTGTCACAGCTACCCCCACTCCTCCATGCCTATCACCTGCCCAAATCCAGGCTTCCCCATTTCTTCCAGAACTAGAGCTTCCAGACTTTTGTCGCCAGGTCCATCTTCCTACTGCCCCAGAGTGATCCCTTTGTAAGCCAAGTACCAGCTGCAGTCAGCTTGTCCCACAGTTCCCATTTAATGAAATTTAGGAAGCCTGATGCTCATCCTAAAATGTCTCCAAGTTTCTTTGTGGGAGTTGGGAGGAGATGGGGCTTATACTCTTCATGGCCATTTCTTGCTCTG